GGAAAGAGATGCTATTGCCAGCAGAGAAATGGTCAAGAGTACACTATTGATGGCAGGGGAGCTTTTAAAAGGGTGATATTTTTTTAAAGGGTCTTTGGTCCATGTCACAGCCCACTTCCCCCAAGTCCTTCCCCTGCAGACAGAAAATTTAGCATCTGTGATGCTGGGAAGATGCTCAGTCCCCTTATTACAGCACAGACTGAGCATCTTCCTGAAGGAGCTAAACCTATGGAGACATTTATAACAGTCCCTGATTAATGAACTGGCTCACCCAAACATAAGAGCAGAATACAAAGAACCTCTGCAGAGAAATCCCCTAACATTGTCTCTTCTGCGCAGGGACCAGGCAGGGGCAGGGATGGGGACTGGCTTCTCTCTTTGCTCCTCACTTTGGTCACAGCCCAGTGGCTCTGCCCAGAGCGGCTGCAGGGAAGGGGTCTGGGCAGGGCTGGGGATGGTCACCTCTCCCCACTGGCTGCTCCTGCTGCCCCTTACTGTTTTGCTTTCTCTCTTTCCCCCCTGGCTGGGATCTTGGATCATTCTCCCATTCTTGAGATCTTTACTCTCCTGACACTGGACTGGATCCTGCAAAAACTACTAGGAGTAAAAGCCTGTGTATGTCAGTGCGGGCAGCATCTCTGGGACTCACAGACCACAAGGAGCAGAGATGGGTGCAGAGGGGTTGTGTGCGCAAAGCCCCTGTGCTGCTCATGCCAGCGCTTTCCTAGAGGTCTCTCTCCATTACCTTGAGTCTCCGGCTCAGGAGCGGGTGTTGGCAGAGCCCAGGGCTGCCCTGGAGGGCTGATTCCAGCCGCCTAAGAAAGTCCCCCCCTGGGCTGGGCATAGCAGGGCTTTAATGAAGTCTCTCTCTGGCAGCTTGTGATCACACTGCACAATGGAGACGACAGCAGCATCTGACCCAGGAAGCTCAATCCCTGATATGGACAGATAGAGAAAACCATCTCCCTCCTTCCTTGGCGACCAGAGCCCTCCTGTGGCAGTAGCTAACTTCTGCACACAGGAAAGCTGGCATGTGGTCAGCCTGCTGAGTACAGCAGGACCTCCTGACTTATTTGCAACTTCTGCCAGCAAAAATGTGCCTTACCAGTCTGGATTATAACATTTATCTTAAGCAAAGCAAGCCATGCTGGTAAACGCACTAGTAAAAATCCCAGTGTCTAAGTGATATTACTGTATTGGAAGAAGTTTCTAGTGTAGAGCTGGTCTTTAAAACCTCAGGCCCTTTCTGCCATCAATAGTGTGCTCTTGACCATTTCTCTGTTGGCAATAGCTCTGGCAGGGGAGGCTCCAACGGGATCGGTGCCTTTGATTCCAGAGGAGGTTTTTATTCCCTAGAAGTGTTCCCAGTGTGTGTGAGTGTGCATATATTTGGATGGAGATAGGTTGAGTGAGAAGACAGTCTTCAAGTCTCTTGTACCCCACTCCAGATACTGCAAAGACGTAAACAGACGGGGGCAGGACATTGGAAACTGGTAAGAGGGCAGCAGCGTTTGTGTCCTACCTAAGAGGTTTGAGTCTCTGAAAAGGGCAAAGGCTTCTCTAAAATTATTTGGCTTATTTACTCTCCTGTCTGTAGAGGTCCCCTTCAAGTGACATGACTGGACTGGTGGCAGGAGCTGCCATGTTGGCATAAGGGCTAAAAGAGAGGTGGAAGTGGCCCTATTCATAGCCGTGAACCTCCATGGCCCTGATTCATGCAGGAAAACTTGGTAAGCATTGCTGGACTGCCCCGGGGATGCAACCACATCCTACACTGCTGAACAGGCTGCACATTGGAACAGCCTAGCTGATGTGATGATGGTGGTGATGAATAATAATTATAGTTAGCATCCGTAGAGCACTGTAGAGGTAACCAAATGCAATGGCAGAGATACTGTCTACCCTGGCCAGTGGAGGTGAGAGAGAAACAAGACCTGGGGCTGGAGGGTATTCTGAAGTCCTGGGGGAGCACAAAGATATCAGAAGGCTTTGGAGAAGAAATGGGGTATAGGAAGAGGTTCTTTGGAGGACTTGGCTTGACCATAAGGACTGAAAAGGGAATGTTGTACAGGCTTCTGAATGCAAACAGGCCCTGGAGTTCACTCTAGCTGCTCAGGGCTACTACCCAGGCCCCTCTGTTTCCTGGCCTGGACCTAGCTATCATGGAGGTGAGTGATGGCTGCACAACAGATTCTGTTTTGAGAGGTGTGGGCAGGGGGGAGATATTACGCTAGTAGCATAACTTAAGCAGGGTGACTGGGGTAGCAGCCCAGATGCTGACTTGAGTGAGGGGCAGAAAAATAACAGCTGTCACTGCAGCCTCACAGTCACATCAGTAGCATCAGCAGCTGGAATCATTGCCACCACGATGTGTCCCTGCTGCCCCAGGCCCCTAGCTGCACTGTTATGCCTCTGACCTGGCTGATTATGTGGGAAACGAGAAAGCCACAAGAGCCTGCGCAGTTGGAATGGAGCAAGAGACTTAATTTTGGGGGTGTCTGAGTTGAGGCCCGGGGGGTGGCTGAGGGCTGACCAGAGTAGGGTGAGGGGCCTGATAAGTCTTATCACCACCCTAAACCTTAACTCTTGTCTAGATGTCTCTACTTTTCCCCTGTGCTGAGCGAGACCAAGTGGTGATTTTAGTAGGAAGCAGGCTTTCACTCCAGCCCAAAGCATTTTGTCCACCACTGGCTAGAGCATTTTGGATTTGACTGGGTGCAGTTTTCAGACAAAGAAATGCCATCAAGTTGTGGGTAAAAGTCTTTATTACTTAACATGTGAAATCTGTATGTGTATAAGCCTTCCAACTCAGACTGACAGCTCAGGAGGGCTGGTTTCTCACCAGATATACAGACACCTCACTTCATGGAAACTTTAGTTGCCTCAATTGCAGTTCTGTTCTGACCTGGTAATGCTGCTTTCTCTCTTTGGACATGCTCAAAGATATGCAATGGCACAGCCCTCCACTCTGTGCTCCAAATATCAACCTTCCTTCTCTTTTGAAGAAGTCTTTCAGTGTTATGCTTTGCAAAGGTAGCCTTGGAAACATGGACAGTCATGTGCACACCAACTGAATTGGTTAAAATATGAGTTAGCTAAATCAGTGTTAGCCTCTTGTGTGCATTCTGAAATTGGTTGAAAACTGGCTTATTTTGAATTTGCTTTGTGCTGGTTTAACTGAAGCTGTTAAATCAAATTGAGCCAGAACAAATTCTTCCCTTAGACAAGCCCAGAACGAGAAAAGAAAAATCACAAATCTTTGCATACTTTGGCTGTTCCCACCTGCCAAATCTGCTTCCATGCGGTACCAAAATAAATTCCACTGGGAAAAAAATCTGAATTTTATTAGCTGCTGTCTGACTGTATCATCTCACCAAAATGGACCCCTTATTCCCCGGAGGTAACCTGAACAAACACAGGTGTTCTTCCAACACCTTACAAATCACACAGGCTCTCATGCCAGCTTCCTTGGCTAATGCAGTAAGGTACCCTGTGTTTTGTCCTGCTTTTCCACCTGTGGTGGGATGGGAGGGCAGTGCCTCAGCTAGTTCTCTTTGCCAGCTCTTTTGTGTTTCATTTGCCTGTAATTCTGACATAAGCCCCTCCTGGAATTCAGGAAGAGATTTCAGAGCCTGTAGAGCAATGCCCCTCCCCTCCACACTGAATGAAAATTTCAGCCCACATCAGAAATATTTCAATTTGGAGATGAGACTGCGGCACTTCACAAGGGTTACAGTTCACATAGCTCCTGCCCCAGCATCGCCTGTATGCCAAGCTCCTTGTTTGAACTGAGTTTTCCATAATGCCTCATGTTCTCCCACCTTGGTGTAATGAAGAGATGGATTGTAGGAGTGCTCAAATATGTTTAACTTAAGCCAAGGAAAAAAAACCCCTTTTCCAGTGAGAGTTGGATGGGAATTGTCTGATCTGCTCTAGAGATTCTTACCGCATCACCACCCGTGGATGCTAAGGATTGACATTGTGTGGTGGCACCACCGTGATGTGCAGTAAGGTTTGAGCGGTCACCACAATTGGGATGCTGACAGAGCCCCCCTCCTTTCTATGCCTTTTCTGGTGGGAAACAAGCCCTGAGCTGTGACGGAAGCTCTTCCCACAATCAGTGCAGTGATAAGGTTTCTCTCCCGTGTGGAGTCTCTGGTGTGACGTGAGCTGTGAGCTGACGGTGAAGCTCTTCCCACAGCTCAGGCATTTGTAGGGTTTCTCCCCCGTGTGGATCCTCTGATGCCTGATCAGCTGGGAGCTGCAGCTGAAGGTCTTGGTGCAGTCCAGGCACTTGTATGGCTTCTGCTCCAGATGGGACCGCTGGTGGACAATGAGGTTGGAGCTCCGGTTGAAGCTCTTCCCGCAGTCGGGGCAGCAGTAGTCCTTCTCCCCTGTGTGAGCGCGCTGGTGCTTGGCCAGCCGGGAGCTGCTCTTGAAGCACTTGCTGCAGTCTGGGCAGGGGTGGGCGCTCTTCCCCGTGTGAGTTCTGCGGTGCCTTGTCAGGTGCGAGCTCTCACTGAAGCTCCTCCCGCACTGGCCGCACTGGTAGGGCCGCTCCCCAGTGTGGATCCTCTGGTGCCGGATCAGGTCAGAGTTGTTCCGGAACCACTTGCCACAAGCAGGGCACTTGTACGGCTTCTCCCCTGAGTGCACGCGCTTGTGGATCACCAGGGTTGAGCTCTGCCCAAAGCTCTTCTCGCACTCGTCGCACTGGTAAGGCCTTTCCCCTGTGTGGATCTTTTGGTGCCGCAGGAGGTAGGAGCTCACGCTGTAGCTCTTGCCACAGTCAGGGCACTTGTAGGGCAGGTCCCCTGTGTGCACGCGCTGGTGGGCTGCCAGGTTGGAGCTGTGGTTGAAGCCCTTACCGCAGTTGGGGCACACGTAGGGGCGCTCGCCCGTGTGCAGGCGCTGGTGGGTGGTGAGGTTGGAGCTGCGGCTGAAGCTGCGCCCACAGTCAGGGCAGCGGTAGGGGCGCTCACCCGTGTGCAGTCGCTGGTGGTCGATGAGGGCTGAGCGCCAGCGGAAGCCCTTCCCGCACTCACTGCATGTGTTGGGCCTCTCTGCATCGGGGGGTTCCTTGCAAGTGGTGTCCTTGAGCTCAACCTCCCCTGGTGGCTTTCCCTTGTGCCTGAGTGACCTACGGCGATTCACACCAGCAGTTTCATGCTCGGGGGTCTGGGAAAGGTCCCCTTTGGCTCTTTCCAGCACCATCCCCTGAAGATCCATGGACTCAGGACCTACCTGCTGGGGACTCTCTGCCTCCCTCACACTCACTGGAGACTCACCTACTGGGACAGAGAGAGGAACCAAACAGTCAGGAGTCATTCCCTGTTGCAGGGGAGACAGAGAACCTCAGAAAGGAGAACAAGAAGGGGAAACAAACTTGAAGAGATTAAAAAGACCAGAACATGAACCCCCACAAGCACCACCACAAAGGAGGAACAACTCTGCCCCTCATCCCTCATATCTAGTCCTCAAGGTGGGCGTTGAAGCCTTTGAAGGAGCATCTGGTAGACACCAGATCTGGAGACGAAATATGCTGACCCCCCCAGATTTGGGGGACTAGTCAAAAACATTTCATGGAGACCAATTTGGCTGCTTCCAAGACCCCTCAGCTTCCATTATCTAAGGGAAAAGGAGTCCTTACCGACTATGGCTGAAGTCTCATAACTCTCCTGCATGCCGTCTGTAGAGGGCTGCCCCGCAGAGCCCACTGCCCCTCGCTGCGATACACAGCCACTTCCTTGAGGGTCACCAGCCCCTGAAACACAAGATTTCCTCCTCTCAGAACCTGCTGCCTCTGCCACAGCCCTACCAGTTCAAGGATGGCTGGTCCCAACCTCACTTACCTTCTGCTTTCCCACCAATTTCAGCTCCCATATTTGCACTCATTGTCTATTGGCCACTCATTCAGTCCCCACATTATCCTCACAATGCATAGGCCTGTCTTTCGTGTGCTGTCACCACCACCAGTCATACCAATCAGGACATCAACCACTGCTGGAAATTCTCCCTCCTTGCATGGGACTGAATCCAGCCTTGCCAGGAGCCTCCACCTTTCTACCCTCCCCTTTCTCCCCTGACCCAGGAGTTTCAGGGTAATGGCAGGACTGGGAAGTTCAGTGAGACACTCTCCAGTTGGGAAGAGCATGAACTGTGAGGTCTTGGGCAGGGCCCTTCAGTGTGGTGGCACCATTTTCCCCAGAGCAGTGATGACATCTTTGGGAGTGTCTGGGGGATTAGCAGGCCAGTGGCCTGGCTGAGGTCTGGGACACGGCTGGGAGAACCTACGGTACCCTGAGCTTTCTCACTCTCTCAGCTGGCACAGTGATCATTGCTACTTATCACTACCACCCCTGCTCCTGCTGCTTTGGCTGCCTCTTCCGTTCCCAAGATGGGGAGCAGCTAGAGGGGAGGCCGACAGTGTCCTAGAGCAGCAGCCTGTAGTGCCAGTAGCTCCTGCCCAGTAAATTAGATCCATGCAGTGCTCTGCCAAGTCTAACAAAGCTGTCAAAGCCCCAAGCACCACAGTAGAGGCTTAATGCCTGGGAGGTCGCAGGTGATGCTGAAGCCCATCAGGATGAGCAGGATGGTTGGGGAGGCTCTGAAAGAGTTTCGAATCCTCTTCAGAGCAAAACTGCCCCGACCCTAATCCTTTACGGCCCAATCCTAGGATGTGCTGAAATCACTGGAGCACCTCAGCACCTTCCAGTATTAATCATAAGGCCCAAAGCCTTTTATAGTGTGACCTGCAGCCTCAGAGATGACTGTGGCTAAGTGACATTAGGTGAGCTGCTTGTCTATGGTACAGGACAATGGTGAGGATAATGGTGAGCTAATAGCCAGGCCCTGTGACACACAGTACTGGGGGAACAGTCTCTCAGTCACAGATCCTGCCATGGGAACCAGCCAAAAATGTTCTGACAGAAGCTTTTCCACCAGAAAAGGCTGATTTGACAAAATCTAAGCATTTCATGAGGCTGGATTGATTTTGTCGACATTTTTACATGGGAATAACCAAAGCATTTTGTCATGGAAAGGTCAGAATGTTTCTTTTCAGCGTCATGATTTTGATTCCTGTATTATATCATGTACATTAACATGCTGTAACTAATATATTAAAGGCTTCTTTTAGGTGCCTGACTAGCTCAGCCATCAAAGCATGGGATTCTTAATATTATGGTCATGAGGTCAAGCCCCACCTTGAACACACTTCTCCTGTCATGGGGTTTAGACTTCCTAAGGCTCTTTCCAATCCTACTTCTCTCTGATTCTGCATGGCACATTGGTCAAATTGAGGCATTTGAATTTAACAAAACTGAAACTTCATAACAAGGCTAAAGAGATTTTTTTCAGAATATTTGTGTGTGTGAAAATCTCTGATATTTTTATTTTTGGTCCTGCTCTGAGGAGAACTGAAATGTCTAGATTTCCATTTCTTGAGTAGCTCCATTGATATAAGCAATGGTGGGAGGGAAGCAGAAGCATGGGATGAAGAAGGGGGAATACTTGCCTTAGGCTGCACAGCAGGTCAACAGCAGGGCAGGGCTGCAGAGACTCTTCTAGGTTCTTGCTGACTACACCATGCTGCCCATTAGAGGCTTCTTGGGATACTGTGGGAAACTGCGCAGAGGGAAAAAAATACACCCTATTAAAAATGTTCAGCTATAGAACAAATGGCAGGCCCGATTAGCCCATAAAGAACTCAAGAATTTTTCTGCACGGATGTAAGACTTATGGCTGAGCTGAGCTAAGTTCTACTTTTTATTGCTCTGTTGCGTTGACTGCAGAGGGAGACCATGCCCAGAATCCACATTCTGCTGCTGTTTAACCCAATTAATCAGAAAGAATAATTTAGTAACGTCAGATTTTCTCAATTTAACCTGACTTTCAAAGCTCCACCCCATTGCAGCTCTTGACAGAACACAAAGAAACTTCACCCTTGTTTGCCTTGTGTGTCTGGCTTTTTAATATTTGGGGATTTCAGCTTGGCCATGGTGCCTCGCACACTCAGCTGCACTTTAGGAAGCTGTCTATAAGTCAGTTCCGCACCCTTTGGGCATTTATACACATGCTTGGGGGAGGGGGTACTTTAATTAGAGTGGCTCCAAGAGCTGCTTTAATTAAAGCGCCCATGTATCAGTTAATTTTTTAATTAAAGCACCCATGTATCAGTTTTAATTAAAGCACATGTATCAGCATCCCCACGCTAAAAAATGGCAGCAAGAGCATCCATTTTTGAGCTTTAGTTAAAGCATCAGATGAGCTTTAGTTAAAGTGTCCCTGGCACCATTTCACAGCACGGGGACATTGATACACATGACACCGGAGTCTGCTGGAGCACGGCAATTACCAAGCTTGGTAACTATAGCATGTCAGAGCAGCCTTGCTATACGTGTGTAGGTGCCCTTCTTGTTTAAGGGCTATGCAATGCCTTGCCTGACTTTCAGCATAAATAGAGCAGCTTGGAGGTTGCTCTAAGTTACCATTTACTGCCTGCAGTCCCTATATAGCACAGAAGACAGAACAGATGTAGAGCTTTCTTGTCACACCTCTGACTTATGCACACACATAGATCTGACCCCTATTTTCTGCCCATTTTGAGGCCTTGTATATGCTGCCAGAGTGCCAAAAACAAGTGTGAAAATAGACTCAGGTTACACATCTAGATGTTTAACTACATCTGAGGTCCAGAGTCCTCTGCTGACTAAGCTGCTGTGAGAGGGAGGCTACAAAGGAACCCTCTCCATTGCAGATCACTTCACAGATGCCCACTTCTGGGTCTCTCTGTACCTTTCTCTGTAACAGCATTGTGAAACATGGCATCACTGCTGCTTCTGGCTGCAGCCTTCAACACGCTTGTGCCCACACTATGAATGACAAAACCTGGGTGTGTGGCTCAGCACATGAGACACTGGGCCAGTTGAAGTGTTGCAGCAAAACTCACCAGGCCAAGCAAATAGTTTCCCATGTCCCTATTGTTAGCATGTGAGCTGTTCAGTCCTGGAAGAAACACTGTTTTGCTGGGTTCTCAGGCTTTTGCATCTTGCAAGGAAATGTCTCCATGGCCTTTGTCAATAGGGTTGGGAATACTAACATATCACACCGGAGCACTGAACACAGAGCTGTGTTTTAGTATATAACTAACTAGTGTTTTTGCTGCAGTCCCTTCTACGCTCAAGAAGGCCTATGAAGCATATGGGAACATCAGTCACTGCAAAAATATATCATTTCCTGGATCTCCTGTAACCCCCCAGCTCATCATGTTGGTGCCATCCCTTCCTGTCTCCCCCAACATGCTGCAGATACCCCCCAAGTCTCATCGCTTTGAAAATCTAGTGCTGCTCTTACCGTCCTAATCCAAGGGCATTTGGGTGGGTTCCTGCCAGAGCTGCCAGGAGTGAGAGTCTGTGGCTATGTCTACACATTCATTAATGCATAGTTGTTACTAGGAATCAGAACTCATGGTAGAGGTGATATCTTTTATTAGACCAACTGGATTTTTGCAAAAAAAATGTCCTTAATTGCAAGCTTTTTAAAAAAAAAAATCTAGTTGGTCTAATAACAGATGTCACCTCTACCATGAGTTCTGGTTCCTTCTGCCTCTAGACCAATATGGCTACAACCTGGATACCTGACAGTCATTACTACGCATTGAATTTAGTACTTGCTTAACGATGTACTAAGTAAATGTGCAGTAACTACAGTTACTGCACCGTAGCACTACCGAATGCTTTTTTAGTGACACTCCTGCGCAGTAGCCTAATAACACTGTGCAGCAGTGCATTAGCACTGTCCATACTGTGACTTGCTACTGTGCAGTGTTACTAGGCTACTGCGCATTAAGCGCCTTGTGTAGACATGGCCTGTGTGTGTCAGCAAGGGCAGCAGCTCTGGGACTCGAAAACCCCGGGGAGCAGATGGGTGCGGAGGGGCCGTGGATGCAGGGCCCCTGCCCTGCCTGCCCCAGCACTTTTCCCCAGGTCTGTTTCTATTACCTGAAGTCTCTGGCTCGGGAGTTGGTGTCGGCAGAGCCGAGGACTGTGCAAGGGGATGATTGCAGCCACTGGAGAAAGTCCCCACTAGGCTGGGCACAGAAGGGCTGTATTGAAGGTCTCTGCCAGGCCCAGAGACCGCTGGGGAGCAGCAGCTCCAGGCTCACAATGGAAGCATCCGCAGCCCTGTCTGACCCAGGAAGTTCAACCCCCGTCTGCTGAGCAGCAAGAGCAGAGCAGCCTTCCCCTCCCCTCCCTCAGCAAGAAGCAGAGCCCTGTGGTACAGCCTTAACTCCTTGTCTTCCGGCAGCTGCCACGCGGCCGAGGGACCTTCCAGCAGTGCCAGCGCCTGGGAAGCTTTACCCCCTGGGCAGACCTAGCATGCTGGGGTGCCAGTGGGACAGGGAGGCATCCTGGTCAGGGACCTACATGCCCCTGACCAGCATTTGCCCCAGGCAGGGCACAGCCTGACTGTGTTTTTAAGTAATATTTCTGCTTCAGGGACTGTTTAAAAACCAAATGGCCCTATAGTCTTTCTGTCTGCTCACTACTGACTCCTGGGGCATGGTGGCTAATTTACCTTAGCTGGGCACCTGGTCCCATTGAGTCTGGCCTCATGTTTCCAAGGGAGTGAGACCCATTGTTATTGTTATCACTAGTATTTATACTGTAGTTGTGTCCACAGAGGGGTACGTAGAGGCCCCTGCAGCTGAGGATTCCCTCGTGTGATTCCTGCGGGCACCCAAGGCTTCCTAGGAAGGAATCACTTCCAGCTTGGGTCATGAGCTGGGGGAACACAAGCTTCTCCCCATTTTAAAGCAGGAACTTCTGTCCCTTGGGTTACAGCAGCGATTCTTGATCTATGAGCCCTGACACCCTGGTAGGTCATGAAAGGCAAGGGCCAGGGCTGGGGAAGGGGTCACACTATCTTAAAATATGTGTTGCAATCAAAGGAAAGAAAATCTCTCTCCCTCTGTTCCTCAGGCATCCGGTTACCCTTCAAACTCACCATATTCTTGTAAGGCACAGGAGAATTACCATTCCCACTTAACAGAGAACAACTGAGGCATGGGTTGGATTAAGTGACTTGCCCAAGGTGTGTGGCTGACTCAGAAACTGAATTTTCACAGACCTGCATTTTTACATAATGGCTTCTATCCCACCCAGGAGAGCACAAACAACTGCAAATGCTCTCTCTGCCTGAATAAGGGTGTTTGTACCCAAAAGCTTGCAAAGAACATTTTTTCCAACTATTTAGTTTGTCTAATAAAAAATATTGCATTTACCCAAAGAACCGTGTCTGGCTCAGAAACTGAATTCATGTCCCCCGAGTGCTGGCTCAGAGTCCTAACCTAGGCTGGCAATCCTTCCTTCAACAGTGCTTACCTTGATTGGGAGCCAAAGTGCCCCAGGCCACAACCTCTACAGCACTTGGGAGCCACAGTGTGTGCACATCCACTTTGTGCACCCAACATCTGCCACTGTGACTGCCAGCAGGAGCACCGCACTTGAGGTTAGCTCCCTAGGAGGTGCTGCCCCCGTAGGCAACGACTCGGTGGGTGCATCCACCAAAAAAAAAAAAGTGGGTGCTCAGCACCCATGAGCCATGGCCATTGTGGTTTTATGTGATACACGTTATATCTCTGTTATGTTAAAAGCTTTGCCCTGAAACTAAGCTTTTACAAGCTAGTACCAGTAGATGGCAGAAGCACATTATGTGGCTGTGCAGAAGGGCAGAATTAGACCAGGGCACCACAATTCATGGTGAGATAGTGGATGTGAATAGGGCCAGAGGTGAAGCAAGATGGATAAATTTGTGTTCAAAATCAACAGTAGAAACAATAGAAACAAAAGAACAGAAGAAACAGTAGAAACAAAATCAACTGTAGAAACAGAAGTGTAGATTTAAATAAAACTGCTGACAGTTTCATCCAGAAAGCTACAGTGAGATATAATGTCCTTTATGGGTTGTGGGTGAGTGCAATTATTGCAAAACACTCCTCTGTAACAGATGATTCAGAGTCCACCTTGGGCAGGGGACAAGCACATAGAGGAGACAGGCCTATGGACTTCCACAGGGCTCATTGCTGGCCCCAACCCTGTTCAACTTATACATAAATGATCTATCAACAACCACATCCCACAAGTTTATCTATGCTGATGACACCTGTTGTGCCAAACTCCATCTTTCCACACTCTGGACCAAACCCAGAATGAAGATGTGACAAAGCTGGCAGATTACTGCACCACATGGTGGCTCATGCCAAGTCTTGCCAAAACTGTATCCAGTGTTTTCCATCTCCACAATGCCAGCACCAAAAAACAACTTAACTTCTAAATGGGTGGTCAGAGACTAAAGCATGATTCCTGCCCAATATACTTGGGGGTGTCTTTAGATAGCACCCTGACTTTCCAGGAACATCTAAAGAAAACAGCAGCAAAAGTCAAATCCCAAAACAACTTGCTAGCCAAGCTTGCTGGATCAATGTGGGGAGCTGCAGCCACAACACTGGACTTCAGCTTTTGCCCTATCATAGTCAGCATCAGAGTATTGTGCACCTGTCTGGAAAAGATAATAGAATCATAGGGCTGGAAGGGACCCTGAAAGATCATCGGGTCCAGCCCCCTGCATGAGCAGGAAAGACATCTAGGGTCAGGTGACCCCAGCCAGGTGGTCATCCAGTCTTCTCTTGAATACCTCTAGGGTAGGTGATTGTACAACCTCTGGGGGGAGCTTGTTTCATAATCTGGACACCCTAGTTTTGAAGAAGTTTTTTGTAATGTTCAGCCTGCAACTATCTTCCAGGAGTTTGTGGCCGTTGTTTCTAGATTTTCCCCAGGACGCCCTGGTGAACAGTTGTTCATCGAGCCCCTGATGTACACCTCTGTTATAGCGGTAAGCCGCAATCGGGTCCCCTCTCAGCCTTCTTTTCTTTAGACTGAAGAGTCTGAGATCCCTCAGTCTCTCCTCGTATGGCTTGCCATGCAAGTCCCTGATCATATGAGTGACCCTTCTCTGGACCATCTCAAGCTTTAGCACGACTTTGTTGAAGTGCGGCGCCCAGAACTGGATGCAATACTCCAGCTGCGGCTGCACCAATGTTGAATAAAGTGAGATAATCACTTTGGTTTTACTGGAGATGCATGCCAGAGTTTTATTGGCCCTAGCGGCTACTGCTTCGCATTGCTGGCTCATATTCATACTGGGGTCTATTGTTACCCCCAGATCCCTTTCATTTGTAGTGCTGGTCAGGTTAACGATGCCCAGCCTGTAAGTGTGCTGGGGGCTCTTCCTTCCCAGATGCAGCATTTTGCATTTCTCTATGTTGAACCTCATCTGGTTGCATTCCAGCTTGTCTAAGTCTGCTTGCATTTGCAGCCTATCTGCGGGTGTGTCCGCACAGCCTCATATCTTAGGGTCATTCATGAACATGGCCAATGGGCTTTTCACTCCCTCATCCAAGTAGTTGATTAAGATGTTGAACAGCACTGGGCCAAGTACTGACTCGTGGGGTATGCTGCTACCCATATCTCACCAGGACTATACTGATCCATTTATTTGGACTTTCTGCATCCTACCCTGCAACCAGTTTCACACCCACTTGACAGTCCCACAGTTGAGCCCAACATCTTCCAGTTTCCTGATCAATACCTCATGGGATGCCAGGTCAAAGGCTTTCTGGAAGTTGAGGTATATGATTAACAGCTTTTCTCTCATACAGGTTATGAGTCACCTGATCATAGAAAGAAATGAGGTTGAGCAGACAAGACCTGCCTGTGATGAAGCCATGCTGGCTGTCATTCAGTGTCATACCTTCTGCAAGTTTGTCACTGTCCCAGGGGAAAAAAAGGAAGGCGCCGGAACGGCCTCCTGTGGTGGGGCCACAGATGTCGGGCCTGTGAGTGGGGTGTGCAGAAGCCCACACCCAGATTCATTCATTCTTTTCTTTTCTTTTCTTCATTCTGCTTTGTTTTGGAGGGCACCCACATTTGTGACCAAAGAAAGACCCTCCACAGATCCAGGGTCGTAAAAGAAGATTGAGGCAAGATTGGGCAGGAGCCTTGGAGGAAGGTCAGATGCAAAGGCAGGGACAGTTGTATGCCTCGCGGCCATCGGGAATAGGCAAGTTGGGGAACAGGCCGAAGATCCACCATTCGGCAGCCCTGAGGGTTGGCGCTTGGCTGGGGTGTAGGGGAGGTGAAGCCCCAAGAATGTCTCTGATGGGTAGTACCTGGAATAGCAAGAAACCCCAGGAGGGAGCCTCACCACTGAAGAAGAAAAGACCAGGTCATGGCAGGTGAGTGTCAGGGCTCCCCTCAGGGTGGAGCATGACCTAACACCTAAGTTCTGGGGACATACCCCTTGGACAGGGTCTAGTAAACTCTTGAAGGCCTCCCGAGAGTGTCTATACAAGTTCCGGTGGGGGCAGTCACATATAGCCTCTTTGATGAATGTTTCTAGAATTTTCCCTGGAATAGAAGTTAAGTTAATTGGCTTGTAGTTTCCCAGGTCTTCACACTTCCCCTTGAAGATGGGCACAACATTGGCCCTCTTCCAGTCCTCTGGGATTTCTCCAGAGGCCCATGGTTCATGGTTGTTGAAAGACCTTTGCCAGGGGCTCTGTGATTACTTCAGCCAACTCTTGCAGCACTCACACATCTTGTTGACATTCAGCTGAATGCAACCATGTGTATCATAACTGGAACCCTCCACTCTACCCCCTCAACTCCCCTCCCCTGTCTTACTGTCCTTGCAAATATCCCTCCCACATACATCCTTCATCTGCTGATGACCCAAAAGTTGGTTGAAACCATTCGTGCTGCACCTTACCTACCACTCTACGATGACCTGTTCAATCTACCCAAGGCCTGCCTTCCTTCGCGACGCCCCTTATAGAACAACCTCCCTGAGCAGGATCTGTTTGCAGAAGCCTTCTGGATCAAGGAATGGGAATCATGGGAAGTCACAAAGAAGTGTCTTGTGACAAACCCCATTCATCAACCTGCTGGTTTTGACCTATCACAGCTAGAGTGGTCCCTGCTAAACAGGTTCAGGACAGGCCAAGGTCCCTGAACAGCCAACCTTCACTGTGGTGGCCTCAGTGCTAACACACTGTGCACTTGTGGAGAGATACAAACAATGCCGCACACTACCGAGGAGTGTCCCCTCTACAAACTAAGATGTGGATTAATAACTTTGA